TACCCGCTGGCAGCTGCTAGGGACCCTACCAGTGCATGCATTTTGTGCACTGGGCCTCTAGTGTGTATATATAACAGTGTATATATATGAAATGAACCTCTTCATGTAAAATTCCTGTGCACAGTGTATATGCACAGATGTCTCAAGGGATGGTCATCAACATATTAGGAGGCTTATCGTTGGGCAGTGGGGTTTAGAGTGACCTTACTTTGGATTTATGCCCACTCTGATTGTCCCTCTCTCCCCTCAGTTAGCCATGCTGTTTTGTTTGTTTTTCCAAGTGGTGCTTTTATAAAGAAAGGAGCTGGTGTTTAGTGAGTACCTACTACAGTCAAACCTCTTTTCTTGAGCGTCTCTCATCTTGAACAATTCAGTTCGCATCTAAGTTGTTCCCAGGAAATATGTCTTGGTGTTCGAACCAAACTTCTGTTTTCCACCTGACAACCCTTTCATGCTGATACCTCATCGTGACAAAAGGGGTGTCTCAGGCAACAAATAGAGGAGGGAGTGCTAATGTTGCTAAGGGTGTGAAAGAAACAGTGGCCACAGTTGAAGAGGTAGGAAAACTGGTGTTGATTTGGATAAAGGAAAGCAGTGAGCCCGTGACAGCATTCCGGAGGCAGTGATACTGAACAAGCAAAGACGCTGCATGCTGACCCGAAAGGCACCCTGGAACGAAGGCGGTGGTTGGATACATTTTAGAAAAGAAGTGTGTATTTATAGATTCAACAGTACATTAGACATGTACTATATGTAAAAAAGGTTAAAACGGAATCATCTGGGGTCTAGAATGGATTAATTCAATTCACATTATTTCTAATGGGAAGACATGATTCGGTTTTCGAGCAAATTGCTCTGGAGCAGCATTCCAAATGGATTAAGTTCAAGATCTGAGGTTCCACTGGATATTGCAGGCAATTTGTTAAAACTCTTAGTCCTCCTGTGTATTCCCTAAGGTCAATGTGTTATTGTTCCTATTGGACTGACAAAGCATTTTAAGCTCAGCTGGCCAGCAGGGGTGGTAGCCGGGATCCCACCCCAGATCTTTATTTATAAAGCCCTTGCACCTGTTCCTATACTCAGCCTCAGAGCACCACAGAGGTTTGGAGCTGAGGCTGGCTGGGGGTTATCTAGTACTGGCAGAGGAGTATTGTGACTTGCTCAAGGTCTTAAGCTAGCTAGGGGAGGAACAAGACTGTGCACGTGGGTTCTGCTTTTGCTGTACTGCACATGGCCTTGACTTAGGAGGCTTCGGTTAGTTTTCAGATTGGTCACTATCTGAACTTGACTTGAGTAATTCTCTCTAACTCTTTGGTCTTTATTTTCCTCATTAGCAAAGAGGATAATACAGTCTGCATCTCAGATTATTGTGAGGCTACTCAGATTCACCCAAAAGTGCCTTAAAAACAATAAAGTACAATACGAGTGTGAAATACTGATTTTAGTCTTGTCAATGTAAGAAATGTTCAAACCTGTAGAGGTTTTTATTATTTTATTTGAGCCAAAACTGACGATATATGCCGGGGAGCAAGATCTCAAGTGCTCTGGAGAGTAACAGTTTTTTTTTATTTTATGCATTTGGAATTAAGGAAGGATTATATGGAGGTGGGAGAAAGCAAGGCGGAGATTGGATTACAGGAACTATTCCAGTTAACAAGATAATGTGCTCTTGAGGGTGGTTACACTTATTTCAAAGGTGTGTTAACCTAGATCAGCGGTTCTCAACCTGTGGGTCTCGACCCCTTTGGGGGGTCGAATGACCCTTTCACGGGGGTCGCCTAAGACCATCGGGAAACACATATATAATGACATATTGTTTTTGTGATTAATCACTATGCTTTAATTATGTTCAATTTGTAACGAAATTGGGGGTCACCACAACATGAGGAACTGTATTAAAGGGTCGCGGCATTAGGCAGATTGAGAACCACTGACCTAGATGTACAGAAGCAAGGGACAGGGCTTGCTTGACAAAAAATAAGTCTTTACTAAAGAAATTCTATGCCTGAGTGTGACTCCCCAGGGCTTATATTGCCATCATTTTTATGATGGCTAATGGATCTTTCCATAAATGGCTCAGTGGTCTAATACATGATGTTGAAGTACAAAGGCATATTTGTGAAGTGAGTTATTTGCACATTTTGAAGTGAACATGCAGCCTACAACCTAGGTTAAGTATAAGAAAGTAGATACTAAAATTTGAGATGCCTACTAAAATAGAGACAGATTTAGAGAGCAGACTAACAGATGGGAGGGGGCTGGAGTGGTGGTGCGGGGTTAAGCCAAAAGAAAAAAAAAACGGGCAGGACATGTCACCCCCAAAATTAAAAAAAGAAAGGTGAAGCGAGTCTCCTGGAAGTAAACTGGAGGTGCCTGGTTAGTTTGGCCAGCAGATGGCACACGCAGCAATACTGCGTCAGTGAGATGTCCATAATTCATTGTGAACTGGTTAGTTTTAAAAGACGGGTTTGTAATTGTTCCAAAAATTGCACCAAGGCAAAGCAGAGCCCGGCCTGATGCGAACGTGTTGTTTAGGCGTTAGCAGTACTGCCCTCACTAGGCGTTCATTGGACAGTAGCGCAACCCCAAGAAAAGGATGGTTGGCATCGTATTTAGGGTGCGCCGCTAGCAGTGCTGGCCAATACCTGGTTGGGTTGTGGTGACTGATTTGCAAGTTCCGGCTTCGCTACGCGTTAGTGCACTTAAGTTGACCGCAACTCCCGAAGCAAACTACCAACTCCTAGTTTTCTGAGGCTTTTGAGAGAGCAAAGAGGCCGCTTGGTTTTACCCAGGAGGCCACGCGCCAGCCACGAGACAATTTGCATATGCGCTCCTCGCTGGGGCGGGGCCAGGGGGCGGGGCTGCGTCTTATTCTCCCATTCTCAGCTCACGGACGTGTAGTCAGGCTGTAGCAGCTTTTTATTTCGTTTTTCGCCTCCGACCGTTTCCTTTTGAAACTAAACTGCTCTATTTGTACAAGAGCAGCCCTCTTGATGACCAGTGTAATCTTGCCAGTCGGCACGCGCTCTCTGGACCCTGGGACAGTGCTTGAGCCAGAAATGTGGGGGCGCCCTGGGAGCTGCTGGGCGAGGGCCCTGGGGCTGAGGCCGGCTGCTCACGGGGTCTCGGTGTTTCCCATTCATTGCAGGTGGCTCTTCTGGGCATGGACATCCTATCCGCGCTAGTCACCCGGCTGCAGGATCGGTTCAAGGCGCAGATTGGCACAGGTGAGCTGTGGGCAAGTGTGGGGCGGGTCCCCAGACTCTCCTCCCTCTGGCCTCCAGTCTCTTCAGTCTCCCCAAATCCTGCAGTTAGCCGTGCCCAACCTCCCGCCAGCGCCCCTGCTCCCCTCCTACGCGTCAGCCATCTCCTTTAGCCTCAGCCTCCTGCTGGGGCTGCACCACTGCCCTCCCTGACCTCCCGACATCCCCATCCCTCCCAGACCCCGCCCTCCATTTGTGTGCTTCCAGCATTTGTGTTCTAGCACGAAGTATTACTGCGAATTCTTTTATTTCTGTGCAAATTAGCTGTCCTAGTTTAGCCCTGGCTGGCCCTACTGGGCCCTGACACCCCCCCCCCCCCCCCAAAGCAGTCCTTCCCTCTAAATCAGTGGTTCTCAACCTTCCTAATGCCGCGACCCTTTAATATAGTTCCTCATGTTGTGGTGACCCCCAACCATAAAATTATTTTCGTTGCTACTTCATAACTGTAATGTTGCTACTGTTATGAATCGTAATGTAAATATCTGATATGCAGGATGTATTTTCATTGTTACAAGTTGAACATAATTAAAGCATAGTGATTAATCACAAAAACGATATGTAATTATATATGTGTTTTCCGATGGTCTTAGGCGACCCCTGTGAAAGGGTCGTTCGACCCCCAAAGGGGTCGCGACCCACAGGTTGAGAACCGCTGCTCTAAGCCGTCCTGCAGACGCCAGCAGTCCTGCGCTTCCAGGCGATGGGACTGCTGTTATCTCTCACTTTGTTACATCCTTACACGTGTGTATTAAATCATCACTTTCTGACTTTGAAGGGAAAACAGTATTTCAGTAAAATGAAATGAAAATAGCCACAGGTTTTATAGGTCTAGAGATAATTTCATCTCTAAATTCCTGACCTCTGCGAGTTTATGACAACATGAGCACCAAGCAGATCTGTGTGTGAGCATTTCTCACAGACGTCTCTGTGTCAGTTGGTCTACATATAGCTGGTATCTGTTACTTTCTTTTAACTTTCTGGTTAGTGTGCTCCTGTGGATAAGGTGGAGCTCTTTTCCCATTCAAATAAAACCCCCTTACTTTAAGAAATTCAACATTTTAATAGGGTTTCACTTTCCTCCTAAATTAACTGAATTGGTCAGGAATATCTTTTGTAAAAGAAAGGTTCATGTTCATAGACTCTTAGAAGAATCTGACCTCTGGGATGCCTGTGCCTTTGGAGCACTGGCCAGTGGCCCGCACCTGGGTGTCTGGAGGAGAAGGGGAGAACAGATGCGTTCTGCATAGGGGCGGGATAAGCACGAATGTGTCTTATGTAAAACACAGAGACAAAGGGTAGGTTGAGCCATAAGTGTCTGCCCCTACCCCCAAGGAAATGTGCTGGAGCCCGTCTCTCTTACCTGAATTTCCTTTTGTATTGACTCTTTCCTGCTAAGGTCTCCATTGACATCTTTTTTTAATATTTGACCAGCATGAAGATGTTGGGAGGTGGCTGGAGGAATATGTGAATAAGAAGACACATATACCCATGCAAAAAGGATTTTGCTGATTCTTAGAGTAGTTCCCTGGACTTTAACGAAGAGAACAGTGCTGTGGGGATTGATGGTTTTAGATGAGGGACCTCATTTCCGCTAGGATTTGTCTTCCCAGTTAATGGAAATATCAACAGTTGGTGACACCACCCCACCCCAACAGGTGTTCATTTGATCACTTTGCATTTTGATTTCCAGTGCTGCCAAGTTTAATAGACAGACTGGGAGATGCTAAAGACTCCGTGAGGGAGCAGGACCAGGCTCTGCTGCTAAAGATCATGGATCAAGCTGCTAATCCCCAGGTAGGGCGGTCGGTGGCCGCGGCAGGCATGCCGGTGGTCCCCTAACATTGGTGGGTTACTCCATACAGAAAGACAATTTATTTTAATCTGATGTATTGCAGATGGAAATTTTCATAGCTCCCCCTCATCCCCATATTTAAATAAATAATAAATAGCAAAGGGTGTATTTTGAATAAGTTAGTGGACTTAACATGGGTTTTGAGTGCTTGGTTTAATCCATAAACTTGAGCTCATTTATGTAACCGATTCTGTATTTCTTTGAAAAGAGCAGTTATGATGTCTGGGTGTCAGGAGGCCTGGCTGGTCTCTGTCTGCTAGTGAGCTGGGGCCGCTGGGACCCAGACACAGCCCTGCCTTCCAGGGTCCAGCTGCGCATTGCTGGGGAAGGGGCATGTTATTGGAAAAACCCTTCTAGGGAAGGTGAAAACTAGACTGGCCTTCAAAGATGAGCAGATGGTGGGCTCTGGGTGGGTGGAGACGGCTGGTCCAGGCAGGAGAGCAGTGTGGGTGTGTGATCTTTGAAGTCACCCAACCTTTTTCGACCTCCCTTTCCTCACCCATGAAATGGGGGCAGCTATACCTCCTGTTGGGGTCGTTGGGAGAATGAAATACAATTATATGAAGAAATGTGTTTGGAAGAAATTTAACTTGATATACAAATAGTCACCATTTTTCAGTGTGCTCGGCTGATGACTAAATGGGGGTTAGCGGCTGGGACTGACGGGCCCCTGTGGAGAGTCCCTCTTTTCCTGGCCCCGAGTTAAACAAAAGGCTGCGGGAGTCTCCTCCTCTCTTTTCACCTGTCCTTTGCCATCCACAGTATGTGTGGGACCGGATGCTGGGCGGCTTCAAGCACAAGAACTTCCGGACTCGGGAAGGCATGTGTGTCTGCCTTGTCGCCACACTCAATGCGTAAGTCTGGGCAGGACCTGAGGATTTTCTTGTCTGAGCTTTTTCATTTTTAACTTTTTATTTTGAAATAACTATTGATTTCAGGAAGTTGTAGAGAAATGTATTGGGAGAGTCGTGCAAACCCCCTCTCCCTCCTCCCCCCAATGTTATCATGTTGCCTGTGCAATGACAACACAGGAAATTAATATTGATACAACCCACAGAGCTTATTCACATTCCTCCAGTCACACACATGTGAGTGCAGTTCTGCATAGTTCTGTCACGTGTGTAGTTCCGTGTCAAGGTACAAAGCTGTGCGTCACCCCAGGCTCCCTCACGCGGCCCCTTTGTAGTTAGTCCCTAACCTCTGGCAGCCACTAGTCCATTCTCCACCTCGATGGCTTTATTCCAAGAATGTTATGTAGATGGGGTCATACACAGTGTAACCCTTTGAGATTGGCTTTTTTCATTCCACTTGAGGTTGCATATATGTTGCTTAAACAATAGTTCATTTCTTTTTATTGCTGAGTAGAATTCCATGCATAGACATATCAGGATTTGTTTAACCATTCAGCTGTTGAAGGACATTTGAATCACTCCCAGTTTTTTGTTGTTACAAATAAAGCTGCTATGAACACTTGTACAAGTTTGTTTCAGCATCAGCTTTCATTTCTCTTGGGTCAGTGCTCAAGAGTGCAATGGCTGTGCACTGGTAAGTTTATTTTTAGTTTTTTTAAAATAACTTTCTTCCCTTTGTATGACTGATGTCCCCAAGGGGAGCACCACTTCCCAGAAGTACTACAATACCAGGTGGATGCGAGGTGTGGATGGAGCGAGCTCCTAGGCCATTTCTCTCCTCCAAAAATCCACTTGGTATGCTGTCCTTGGATAGAGGCCGTATCCGGTGTTAAACTGATAAGGCTAAGTGATCATTTTTAGTTTTAAAAGAAACTGCCAAACTATTTTCCCGAGTTGTCTATACCATTTTACATTCCCACCAGCAATGTGTGAATGAATCAATTTCATCACATCCCTGCTAGCATTGAATGTTATCACTATTTTAATTTTAGCCATTTTGATAGGTGTGTGGTGATATCTCATGGTGTGAATTTGTATTTCCTTAATGACTGTTGATGTGATTATTTTTCATGTGCTTATTTGTAGGAAAGGCTTTTTTGAAATTGAAATTACAAATCATCTTTTCTGATTGTGTTACAGAAAATTTAAATAAAGAAGAAAATGATGATTACCCATAATTCTAGCACCTTCAGATAATCACTGTTAACTGTGGTGCATTTTATTCCAGTCTCTAAAGTTACATTATTTTTATAAGCAAAATTGGGATGATAACATTTCTATCACCATGTAAATTCCCCCTCCTAAGGTGTTAGCCTTTTTAGTGCCATTAAATTTGGCCATATGTATAGGAAACTTTAAAAAAATGTTTCTAGCCTTTGATTGTAGTAGTTTCACTTCTTTTTTTTCCAAATATATTTCTTTATTGATTTCAGAGAGGAAGGGAGAAGGAGAGAGAAATAGAAACATCAATGATGAGAGAGAATCATTGATTGGCTGCCTCCTACACACCCCCTACTGGGGAACGAGCCCGCAACCCAGGCATGTGCCCTTGTCCGGAATCGAACCTAGGACCCTCAGTCCACAGGCTGATGCTCTATCCACTGAGCCAAGCCGGATAAGGCTGATCGTAGTAGTTTCACTTCTAAGAGTTTATCCTAAGGAAGCAACCAGCTTGCCAGAGAGTTGTGTTCACAAAGCTATCTGTGCCAGTGCTTACGATGTGGGCCCTTGTGAACACATGCTCGCCACAAGCAGGGTCAGTCGGAATCCTCTGCAGCCACTTCATCAGTCTTTCATTCAGCTCTTACTACCTGAATGCCAGTGGGAGCATCGAGCTGTGCACAGTTTAGTTGAGTGTGCCGAGCTGGGCATAGTCGGAGCCATTACATGAAAAAGCAGTAATGTAGAGACAGCCATGTGGGAGGTGAGCTGGCTGGAAGGGCTGGGGCTTGGCTTGGCCCAGCGTGGGGCCAGGTGGAGAGAGCCCGAGTGCCAGGGCGAAGACATGCCCGGGAGAGGCACTCATGGTTTCGAACTCAGTGCCCAGGGGCCGCCACAGCACCTTTATTTTGGAACCAGGTGGGAAGGGGATGGAGAAGATGGGAAGACGAGAGCCCGGTGCGAGGGGTGATAGGCCCTGGGCACGGAGGGGAGGGTGAGTGTGGGCAGAGTAGCTTCTGTTTCTTCTTTCTCACTGATGATAAAACACTCCTTTTGTTTTCAGCTCTGGAGCACATACTTTGACACTAAACAAGATCGTGCCACATATATGTAATTTACTTGGAGATCCAAACAGCCAGGTGAGTGTGTTTCCCTGAGAATGGTCATTGGTTTAGACCAGGGGTGGGCAAACTTTTTGACTCGAGGGCCACAATGGGTTCTTAAACTGGACCAGAGGGCCGGAACAAAAGCATGGATGGAGTGTTTGTGTGAACTAATATAAATTCAAAGTAAACATCATTACATAAAAGGGTACGGTCTTTTTTTTTTTTTTAGTTTTATTCATTTCAAACGGGCCGGATCCGGCCTGCGGGCCGTAGTTTGCCCACGGCTGGTTTAGACAGCTAACATGCTTGTTGGTGTTCTATGTATACCTGATGGTGGGTGTGACTATTCATCTTTATAGAACTCTGATTATTGTTTAAGATCATGAGCCCATTAGCGTTTATAAGATACCATTGGTAAATGTGGCGGCCACTCTGCCCTCTTTCCACATGGGGCTGAGACTTCATGAGCCTGTAAAGTGATGTCCTCCAGACCAGCCTCCAGGATCCCATCACTCTGGCCACCATCTCTGCAGCTGGAAGAGGGTGGGCCTCGGGGAGGATGCCCAACACTGATTGGAGGCGAACACTGTGGGTGGGGATTGACCGGAAGTTGTGAGGGGACTTCTCTAGGCCTGGAAACGTTCATGGTTTGCTTTGGGTAGCCGCCATACTGGTGTGTACACCTGTGGAAACTCCTTGAACCCTTGACAACTGTAGATATTTTATGTAAATTTTACCTAAATTCAAAAACAAAACAAAACACGAAAAGGAGGCCCCACTTCCTGAGCTGACGGGAGGGAGAGGAGTGGGTAAGCTGTGGCCAGGTGCCATCTCCCCGGGCTGGGCAGGTCTGGGCCAGCTCGGTCACAGCTGAGTCCTCTGGTCCACGTTCACTCGTGCAGGCTGTTAAGAAAACATTTCATTTCAGGGTTGAAAATAGGAACACAAACTTACCAAGGATACATTTGTATAGTAAACAGGTCTTCATTTTATTTATTTTTATTTTAAATTTTTTTATTAATTGATTAACTTGAGAGAGGGAGGAAAAAGAAAAAGAGAGAGAGAGAGATTTGTCATTCCACTTATTTCTGCATTCACTGGTTGATTCTTGTATGTGCCCTGACTGGGGGATCAAACCTGCAACCTTGGCATATGGGGATGATGCTCTGACCACCTCAATCCCAGCCAGGGCCGAACAGGCCGTCATGATTGCTCAAGTCCCTGCAGAGAGCCTCGCCGTGCTCTCCTGCTCCCACCAGCTCCTGGGACCCTCCCATTCATTGTCTTATCCTTTCTTCTTGGCCCTGAACCCCAGTTGCACTTTCGCACCCTCTCAGCTGCTGTTCTGCTGCTTTTCTTCCCAGCCTGGCGTCTCAGGCTCACTGCCCCACTGTCTCGTCTCCTCGGCTGGCGCCTACTTCTCTCCATTCATCTCTTACCCAGCTGCATTGAAAATATATAGTTAACATCCAAATACAATTGTTAGATATTTTGATTTATGGAATCATACTTTATGTTCAGCATTAATTTAAAAATTCTAGATTACTCAATGAGTTATTGGCCCCCTCCCCTTTTTGGTGTTGTCTCCATTTTTGTTTTCTGTGGAAAAGTCCTTTATAGAGGCCACACTTGGAGGGTATGCTTTAGTGGAGCAGGAAAGCCAGCCTGGCTAGTTGAACTTACTTGTCCCTAATGCAGTTGCTTACTTAGCCACAGGTGATGAGTAGTCACGCTGGGCCTGTGGGAGATGAACATTTCTGGTAAAATGAGGTTGGTGCTCCCTGGGCAGCTGTTAGCAATCTGATAGAGTCAGAGTGTTCCAGATGGAGTGCTCAAGGGTCATGTGCTCACACCCGCTTTTGGAGTGTTTGGTCTGCACGGATGCGTGTGCAAGCGCAGACGCACACAAGCCGCATTTCCAGCACCCTCCTGCAGGAAACTTCCCAGCCCCTTCTCTGATCCCATCCACTTACCCATGCCTCCTTCACCTGAGGCTATTTTCCACGGATTTTCTTAGAGTGACAGGGAGAGGCACAGAGAGGGAGACACCAATGTGAGAGAGACACATCGATTGGTTGCCTCCCACACGCACTTGGACCAGACACCAGACATTGAGCCCACCACCAAGGTACGTGCCCTTGACCGGAATGAAACTGAAGACCCTTCTGGGCTTGGCCGACGCTCTAATCACTGAGCCACCGGCCAGGGCTTGCCTTTAACTTTTTCATTAGTCTGGCCCTTGAGGGTCAGGACTGTGACTCGCTCCGCTTCCTTGTCCCAGGACTGCCCTCCAGCAGTGTGAGGGTTCAGTAGACACCCCACAGCTGCTTGAATGACTTGCCCTTCTTAGCATTTGTCTCAGGCCAGAGAGGACAGTGGTATCTGGGCAGTGCTGCCGCTGTGCTCTGTGCCTTCAGCTCTCGCGTGGGGAGTTTGCCTGGCTCTCAGGAGGCCGCTGACACGGTGTAAACTCTGGACACCTCTCCCTTAGAGGGCGTGAGTTCATTTGCATATTGGTCTGGGCAGAGTGACTGGCAGTGGGGAACCCCTCCATACAGATAGAGGGGTGTTGCTTAGGATGCTTTCGGCTGGAGCCGTGGGAGAAGGCATTGTCCTGCATCATGAGGAGGGGCTCTAGGCTTTGTTAGTGAACAGTCATTTCCCAGAGACTGGCTCAGTCCTTGGGCTTTGTCCTTTGCAGCTGTCCCCAAAGACACAGCCCAGGTCCAGCCCAGCCGCCTGCATGCTCCGCCTGCCTGGTTGACGAAAGCCTGGTGCTTCCCGTGTTCCTCCTGTTTTAACTTTTCTGTACTGAGAGGTTGAAACCTGCAGGACACTGAGAATGAGAGTGCATCTCATTGCCATCATCGAGCTTCAGCAGCTGATGAGACAAGGCCAGTTTAGTTCCATCTGTGCTCCCTCCCCCATCCCAATATTTTGAAGCAAATCTTAGACAGCATTTCATTTACTTCTTTTAAAAATGTTTTTATTGATTTCAGAGAGGAAGGAGAGGGACAGAAATAGAAACATCAGTAATGAGAGAGAATCATTGATTGGCCATCTCCTTCACACCCGTACTGGGGATTGAGCCCACAACCCAGCCATGTGCCCTGACCAGGAATTCAACCGTGACCTCCTGGTTTATAGGTTGATGCTCAACCACTGAGCCACACAGGTCGAGCTCATTTAATTCTTAAATACTGTAAAAGATAAGATTCTTTTCAAACATAACCTTAACACTGTATTCCCTCCTGTCCACCAGGAACGAGTGGTTCTCACGTTATCAAGTGCCCTGCCAGCGACCCCTTTCCCTCAGTGTCGTGTGTTTGTGGTGTTCATGTGTTTGTGGTGTCCGGCATTTCTCTTGGCAAGGGCGGAGATGCTCCTGAGTTCCCTGCGGCCCTCCCGCTCCCTCAGGTTTCCTGTGGAGAATCCCTTCCCTTCCCTGTGTTACACTGAGATTTTACCTCCTGAGCTCAGGATAGGGTTTCCTTCCCGGAGTGCAGTTTGCAGAGCTAGGAGGACAGTGGCTCCAGCAAAGGCAGCGTGCTAAGACGTCACTCACCATAGGAAGTCTCTGTTTCAGATAAAGACTTCCATGCGCATCTTTAAGTGTCTGAGAATTGTTGGTCTCGGTACTCCCTGCGGCTGGACCTGAACTGGGCTGAGCCAGCTGTGCTCCGAATGGGGAGCCTGTGCCCAGGGCTGCAGGCCATGGCAGTGAGCGCAGTGCATTTGAGGCCGCGCTGAGTCTGCAGGGGTGTGGCACCCGCTCTCCAAGGCAGGCTGGCTGGGGCTGTTCTCCCAGGAGAGGGTAGGTGTGCTTCCCATCAGCTTACCGCACCCTTCCTTTCTCTGGAGGTGGAGCCGTCCCTCAAGTTGTGGGATTCACAGGGATCTCTATTTTGACACCCTCAGTGGAAGGCAGTGTTCTAAGGTGAGAAGGATGTGGGCCTGCACTCAGGCGGCAGGTGGCTGGCCTCACTGCCCCAGACCCCATGACACGGTCCCCAGAGGCCCTGTGAGGATGGCTGCAGATGCAGAGACCTCAGAATCTGTAAAGCATTCAACTCAGGCCCGGCAGGTAATGCTGAACATGTGGGCTCTTGTCTTGTGCAGTCCTACTGGCCTGAAATGTTAGGGTTCCTTCTTGTGGTGAGTTTGAGGTAGACAAAAATACGCTTTTTCCTGAATATTTGAAAGTGTCTTATAGACATGATATTTTTAGTCCTGATGCTTTATACTGTGCATCTCCTAACAACAGGACATTTTCTTATATAAGCACTAGTGGCCCAGTGCACGGATTTGTGCACATTGAAAGGAAATTAATTAGAAGAAACATTTTAATATCACTATTCTCTATAATAGAAGTGTCAACCAAATTCACGTTTGACAATGACAGATTGAAACGTACACATGCGATTGGTGCCAGCGAGAGCTTTATATGTATCGTGCAAGCACAAGTCAACTTAGCCTTTTATATATATAGAATGAACTTGCTTAATTAGACCTGCTTTCTGATGTAGCTTAACTTCTTCCAGCCCAGTGAAGCACCCCAACTTCTCTTTCAGGTAATTGTCAGCAACACAGCAGTAAATATCAACATGAAGCAGATTATTATTGTAGATCACACAGGGAGAACAAAGGGTAAAATATTTAACTGCAGCAGTGTTTGACTATATTCTGCGCAGTGAGAAAACCTGAAGTCATTTTCAAGGTCCACCATTTCTTCTTTTCAGTTGGGTCAAGTTTCTAAATTTTCTAAATCTCCATTTTCCTGCTAATGAAAAGAAAATGGGATTCCACCGAGTCTATCTACCTCCTCCAGGACTTCTGTGAGGATCAAATGAGATGAGGCACGGGAAAACGCTTTACAGACATTTGGTTACAGTGTGAAATGTTTGCACCTGGCTACAAAGCAAGCTGTGTTCCTGGGCTGAAGAAACTGCAAGGAGGCTAGTCGCTGCCAAGGAGAGGAAGCCGGGCGGTTGCTATGTGATGTTATTACCTGGCACCATGGCCACCATTTCTGGGCTGGGCTGGGCTGTGGGCCGCATTTTGCACCATGGGGTCTCAGCAGCGTTGGCTGCGATTTGGTGGGCTGTGGCTGTGCAGGGTGGTGGTAGGGCCTGTGTCTCACTTGGGGAAGCCGAGTGTTGCTTTGTGGGTGAAGGTCCATGGTGCCATTTCTCTGTGCCCATCATGGCAGCTCCTGCATTGAGCGTCTGCCCCCCTGGTGGTCAGTGCGCATCATAGCGACCGGTCGGACCCTTGGACACTTAGGATATTAGCCTTTTATATATATAGCTATCTCATTTTCACATTCAATAAATTTAATATTGACATAATGGTAATGTGTAATAGTTCATATTTGAGTTTCCCCTAGTTTTTTTCCTCTCTCTTTTTTTATTCCATTCTGCCCTTGAGCCTTATTTATTGCTGCCTCCTTTGTTCATATTTGTGTTTGTCCTGGCTGCTTACTTGCTCTTCCTGAGGCTCACGCCCTTCACTCTGCTCCCAGGCCCTTGTGCAGGCTGCGCCTCGCTTGGCAGCTGCCTCATTGCATCCTTTCCTGGTAAAATGCACATTCAGGCACATTCCAGGTGGTTCCTTCCTCCCCATAGAACATTCCTTGGTCTCCTGTGGTGTGCGTGTTCCCTCCCTAAACTACCAGCTCTTTGTACTCATGTATAAAGTGATTTTATTACAGCCTCTCCTGTATTAAATGTAGAATATATGGAATTTTCCCCATTTCCTTTCTAGAACCATGAGTGTTTTTCTCATTTTTAATTTTTAATTTATGAGCTTCTTGAATACAGGCCGTACTGCCCATTTTCCTTATTCACTTACTGTTTGACCTAAATCCAGAGTACTTTACATGGTGTTTTATTGTCAGTATAAATTATGTATTTGTATTACTTTCTAATTTGGAAAGATGCCCTGAAAATTCTAGTTTTCTGACATCATCTTAAAGAATGAAAAAAAAAAACTAAGGGATATGGACTTGAATATGTATATGGGAATAGGACCTAAGTTTTTCTACTCTTTGGGATTGTACCTACAGAGTCAAAACTGTTAACCATGGGTTCATCTGGTCTAATAGCTAGAAAGGATTGTATACACAGTTGCATTGGTAAAATGGCAATGAACTTGGGGTGGTGTGTAGCCTGCTGTGTCCCAGCAGGAAGTGCTGTGGGATGACACCGAGAGCTGTAAGATCTCTTCTTTTACATCTAGGTTCGAGATGCAGCAATAAACAGCTTAGTGGAAATTTACAGACATGTAGGAGAACGTGTGAGGGCGGACCTCAGTAAAAAAGGATTGCCGCAGTCCCGGTGAGTTCAGACTTTTTTCCCTTCTTCTGCTCTTCCTCCTGCTGTTTTTCAGTTAACATTTTGGTTTGCACTTCTTCTTTTGTTGTGATAAATTTTCAAAGAATGTATGGTTAGTGGATTGGTGATGGGAGAGAATGTCCTGATCGTATGGTATGTCAGGGGTCCCTTCCCATTCCAATTCCTCACCCAGACATCTCGCCAAGTCCCAGGCCAGCCCCTGATTTTAGAAGCATATTTAAAATGGATGGATTTTGAAAATTCACCATTCTTTTGGTTCAGATGGTTCTATATATTATATACACACAGCACCTAGTTATAGTATGTGCTTAGAGTATCTTTGAGTGAGTGGAGCCTTTCTAAGAATGAGTTTGGTTTGGAAAACATCTTTGAAATGGTAGTTTTCTGTTCAGTAATGTCAGCCTCCCCGCGAAGAAGCTGGGGGTCAGCATCTTATCAGACCCAAGGCAACTTGAGTGCACAGATGTCTCTGTTGTGTCTGAATTTAAAAATTAATGGAGAGTTGGATGTGCATAATTTGAACTGTGATGCAGAAACCTTGCACCAAATGAATTCCAAACCCCTTGCCCCGCCCATTCCTTTAAGGGAGAAAGTCATGTGAAAACCCTGCGAGTTAGAGGTGGACCGCACTCACAGAGCAGCTGGTCAGAGCCTGTCCTTGTGGTCACGGCAACAGCAGAGGCCCAGAGACATGCAAGCTCACACAGCTGAGTCAGAGCTGGGCCTGAAGCTCTGTTCTCTGCCTCGCCTTTTCGTTTCTTCATCCTGTTTGACAAGAGTTTACAGAGCACCTAGACATGGGATGGAATGTTGAAGTATACAGGGGTCTTGATGTCCCTTAATTGGATATGACAGTGGGCCCCTCACCCTAAGGACAGGATTCCACGAGTAGCTGCGTGGGGCTATGTTCTTTCTTGCTGAGTCATGTCAGACCCGGTATCGCTCTCACTATGGGCCCTGAGCTGTGCACAAGGCAATGAGATGGGCCTTTAACTACTCTTCGTGTGCTGACAAAGGTAATCTCTGAGAATAGAGTTTTTATGCCCATGTTTTACTAACCTCAGCCTTCTGGATTTTGAATGAATGGTGAGAGACAAAACTTAAAGACGAAACTACTGAACAATCTCTTGGGCAAAATTGGAGGGAGGACACAGATGAACGGCAGAGCAGGGGCTGGAGGCAGAGGGCTGTTTGATGATGTCACGATCATTGTTGGGAAAACAGGGTTTAGGCAGTGAGACTCTCCTGCTCCAGGATGGCTCACCATGCTCTGCAGCTCACAGGGGCCGGGGCCCTGAACGGACCGGCAGCACACACGGTGGGGTTCCTGGGTAACGCTCGAAGGTTGCTGCGGTGAGACCTAGAGGTGGGTGCAGGAAGGAGCTGGCACCGCAGGCCGGACGGCTATCTGGAGACGCCTGCTTGTAGGGTTGGCCCTGGGCAGTGTCTGGAAACTTGGATGAGGGGAAGATTCCCAGTATTCCCAAAAAGTGGCTCCCTGTGCCCCACGGTGCAGGCCTTACGCTGTGCCCCTACTTTCCTTCAGGGAGTCTGACATTTTGGGAAGTACTGGGCAGAGGGTGTCTGTGTGACCAGCCCCAATAAAATCTCCAGGCACTGAGACTCTAATGAGCAGACCGCCTTTCCCAGGTGGTCCCCACCCGTTGCTGGGAGATTAACCACATCCTGTGTGACTTCACCAGTGGAGGCTCTAGGAAGCTTGTGCCTGGCGCACCTGGTCCTCACCCCGCACACCTTTTCCAGTTGCTGGTTTTCTTTGTGTTCTTTTACTACGATTGTCCTGTAATAATTACAGCTGTGAGTATGACTATATGGTGAGTTCTCTTAGCAAATTGTTAAATGTGGGAGTGGCCTAGAAGCCCCTCAGCATAGAGGGTGTTTTAGGTAAGGTCCTAGAGGCAGTGGATGCCAGAGCCCCAGGTATGCGTGTCGTGTGCTTTCTGCTAATCTTTTTTTTTTTTTTTTTAATTTGAGAGAGAGAGAGAGAGAGAGAGAGAGAGAGATAGATCAGTTGCCTCTCGTACACGCCCGGACTGGGGATCAAACCCGTAACCTGGGTATGTGCCCTGACCGGGAATCAAACCCACCACCTTCTGGTGTATGGGGCAACACTCCAACCAACTGAGCCACACCAGCCAGGGCCACATACTTTTTAAAAATATATAAAAAGCTACAGAAGAGCTGGGCCTCTGTGAATAGGAATGGGGGTTTCTGCTATCTCATGTTATCTAAAAATTTCCCCCCAAATTCTGACCAAATGGAGAAGGTAGTCCTGTTAAAATGGACACACATGGTCACAGCCGTTCTTGTGAATGCACAGGGCTTGGAGAATGAGGCTGGCAGTTCTTTAAAAACATGCTCTAGTGAAAGAAGCTGAAACCAGGTTTCTTTGGATTTATTGCAAGACAGTTACCTAAGGTCTAGCACTGAGTGTCAGAGGCTCTGGCTGCCACTTTTATTTTGTTGGGGATGTGTCCAAATGGAACGAGACTTGTAAAGAATTCTGCTGTTGTTTGGGAAACTCAGTGTCTACTCTGTGTGGCTCCAATGGTTGACTTGAATACTTGACTATTCTAGACCTCTGTTACATCATTATAGACTTTTTTGTTATTATGTGAGCATAGCAGATTTTTCAGCTTAGCGGGATTCCATAGGACTAATGAAATCTTGTAGAATTTGCTTAATGCTTTCTAAAACTTGAGTTTTGTCCTGGAATGAAAATGTTGACCTCCTATGAGTTTGCTCATTGAGAACTACATTTGAGAAGAAGGTTAACTATAACTCTAAAAAAATACATGATGTAAAAGAATGCCTTCATCATACCAGCTAAATAACTTTAATAAGAGCAGACTCATCTGAGCAGCAGTTCTCTTTGTTCATTTCACAGTTGGGAAGTGCCCGTCACATTGAAGGAGCTGGAATTAGGGGTTTGGGTCACGTGTTAAAAGCTGTTTTAGCTTTGTTGTCTGGTGGCTAAAATCATATTTGAGCCAAAAAATAAAGCAGAGATTTTTAACCAAGTCTTCATGTTAGCAGGTCTCTCCCCCCACACAGGATCTCAGCATTGTTGAGCTGTGAACTTTAGTTAGGATGGTCTTCGGCCATTTTACATTGTTTAACACATTATTTTCACAGTTCATGCACATGATATATGCAGAAAGTAAGTGCACAGTTTGTAGCTATCCAGTGTAGCATGCCATATGGTTGCGTGATGTTTGTGTGGCATGCTGGGCACCCTCTGTCACTCCTGTGGCTTACTTTCATAGACACGTGCTTTCAGCACGCTATGGCATTCCCTGTCCTCCTGTTGGATATGCCAGGCGATATTTGTATCAGTGTGGTATATTTAGTTTGGAAGCTATGGGTAAAAGACTGGTGTTTGTCTCTGGTACCATCATTTGGGAACCAATTGCCTGGAATAGCAGCTGCTTTAAACCTGGAGAAACTTTAATTTATAGAGGGAGCCGATGCATGCCATCTGATGCATTGTGGCCATGTGGTGAACTTACTGTGACCCTGCAGTTTTGAATAGTTCTCATGTTTGTTTTGCTATTTCAATCTATTTAAAAATTTATGGACATTCACTAGACATTATTACTTACTGATTGTATAGTTAAGGAAAAAATGGAAACTTTCTTGTTGTAAATTTGCTTGCTAAAGCTTAGTGCTGTAGAGGGCCCACGGCAAGAGCAGGATGAAAGATGTGCTCGACAATGTCTGCTCTCATTTCTAAGGTTGTTCCTGCCAGTGATGTATGCAGAGAGAGCTGACAAGGTGTATAAGAGATGGAAGAAAGGCAGGTCCTTACCCCTCTGCCATTTTTCTGCAGAGGCAAACGCTGTCACCTGGCTTATGGCTGCTTTTGTACCTATTGCTCTGTCTCCAAATACTGTGCATGTACTGCTAAACCTTAGTTTTTTTTGTCACAAGAACTTTACTTTGCATCATGGAGGGTAAATTTCAGCTCTTTCTTTCTAACCTCCCTCATGTATAGCTGCCATCTCCACACCCACCAAATATAGTCATGTTTTAATTTTGATTAGAACATTTAGTTTATATTATAGTTAAGTATGCCATGCACTATCTATATTTGGTGAATTATAATTACTTTACCTCCCCCCCCCACATCCTTTTGTTTGTCCTGGGTTATTAATCATATTTCATGTGCATAGTGTCCACATCTTACCCTGAGGACTGTCTGTGTACTGCCAGTTGTGGACGTGACCTTGAACCTGTCTGGTCTGACGGGCTGCCTCTCTGCCTTCACAGCCTCAATTTTATGTATCCTCCTGGCAGCTCTACCAGCATGTCGAGGCTTCACTTCTCCTTTCTCTACAGAGGCATCTGGTGTTTGTTTTTTTTTTGGGGGTGGGGGGGCACCATGTCTTCTTTGGTTTTCTCTCTTATTTTAGTTATGCATATCCTCCATTAGCTTTCTCAGAAAAGATGTGGAGGAAACTTTCTTTGAGTCTGAGAAGATCTTTATTCTATTTTGATATTGGTAGTTTGTCAGGATTTAGAAATCTAGGTTGAAAGTCATTTTCATCCAGAATGTTAAAACTAATGTCCATGTATTCCAGCTTTTAGTGTTTCTTTCTACTGAGAAGTCCAAAGTCATTCTGATTCTGCAGTCTATCAAAGTAGATAACTTTGATTTTCTGTCTCTAGAGTTTGTCTGAAACTTTATGGTGAGGAGTCTTATAGAGACTATTTTCATTGCTTGGAGGGCCTTTCAACTTGGAACCTTGTGTTTGGATCTGGGCTAGTTTCTTTACCAGTATCTCTATATCTATACTTATCTACCTACCTAAAAATAATTTACTATTTTTTAAAATATATTTTTTATTGATTTCATAGAGAGGAAAGGAGAGATAGAAACATCAATTATGAGAAAGCGTCATTGAACAACTGCCTCCTGCACCCCTTATGACCCTACTGGAGATGGAGCTTTCAGCTCCTGG